TATTTTACTCATATATATATATATATTTTTTTTACGGTTTAACTCGTGAACTTCCCGTATAATTATAAACATAAATATATACTAGAAAATCTTAGTGAATTTAGTGTCTCGTTATAACATTCGTTTATTATAAATATATTTATTTAATAAAATGTCAAAGTTTTCGAATAACCTTTCAAAGGCAGAAGCAAATGAGTCAAATTTAGAATTTCTGTAAGGAATATATTTTTTAAAAGCGCCAAAATTACCGCAAAATTAACGTAAAAATTTATCGATATTTTTCTTTTGCATTGCTGACAATTTCTTCAGTCTTCAAACGTTTGATTTCAACTAAGTCGATTGGTAAATTCAGATTTCTGATATCTATTGATTTGCAGTGTGTATACCATTTAACCATACTTTTTCCAATGAATGCGATCTAGAATAATTTAGAATGCATATTAATTATATATATTTCAAATTACATTTGAAACTAATTCATATCATAATAAAGATAATCATATATAATAATATATAAAATTGCATGTTAATTATTATACATAAAATATTGTAATCGCAATTTTATTTTTTGTAAAGAAACATAATGCAAAAGTTATTTTTCTAATTATTTTTGAATTATTTATATTATTTTTCCTATTACACACACACGAGCGCGCGCGCGCATATATATATATGTATGTGTGTGTGTATATAGATACAGATTATCGTAAGATAAATGTCCGCAATATATTCTTATAGAAGGAAATTTTTTTTATTATTACGAGATAAATAACGCAAACACATTAATACTAAAATAAACGTACACTACATAAAATTAATGAGCATGCAGCCATAAGCGCAAGATGTTGATTGTAAAGTCATATATTTCAAATTAATTAATATAAGAGTATTACAATTTTATGTTGTTTTATATCATTGAGCCACGTTAAATTGTTCTTTTAAATTTTAAACATACATTGGTAAAATATCCTAGCCAGTCAAGTATCAAGATTATTTTAAGTCCGTAGTTGAGATAAAAAACAACAGATTTGATAAAAAAACCAATAAATTTAATATTAATGTAATGTAATTGCGCAATTTATCTCGCAATAAGAAATTTTCTTTCTATAAAAATATAATACGGATCCATCATTTCGAAATGTGTACTTTTGACCTCGGATTCATGTATCAGCGATACAAAAAAAGGTAGTACCAAATTGTATTAAAATTTAAATATTTTTTTCGAATTTGGACAGATGTATCTAAGAAATGCATAAACTTACTAATTTCAAAGTTGAGAGGCAAGATATTAATCAATTTCAGTGAAATTTTACTTAGATTATATTGAGGCCATAGTTAACTTTTGAGGAGTATTGCTAATCGATTTTCAAAATTTTTTTTTCAGCCCACCCTAATATGTATAGAGGAAAGTGATCTAAATCGGACCTATTTGCAGTTCTCTATAAGACGTAAATAAAGTCCGATCATAAAACCAATGATGCCGTTCGAAAGATCATTTAATTTCTTTCATTTTTGCTTAAGCCATCTTGACGTATCTCTTACCTGTGTTGAACTATAATGGAAAATGTAAAAATGCATCTTCCGGTCCGATTTGGAACTAAGAGTTCCATATCGAACTTCTTCTATTTTTATGGACTTTTAAATAGAATTTTAAAATATTTTAATTAATTTTTGTTAGTATTGAGTAAAAACGAGTAATTTAAGACTCAAAGATAAAAATACATATTTTATATTATTATAATTAAAATCAATAAAAAATTCCATCAATCTGAGTCTGATGACACATGATATTTTATTGATTTAGTGTTCCTTAGACCAGATCTGGTCGGTCGATCACCAATACTACAACCAGGTTGTGGCGAACCTTCTTTTTTCGATGAATTAGCTGGCTTACTCGTCTTTTTAGTGTTTTTTTGTATAGGTCCGATTTGGACACGGGTTCTTTCGAACGATTGGAACAAATTTTATAATACAATAAACCGCACAAGTATAATCACAAAACACTTGACATTTTTTCATTCTACACTCTTTAATTATCTTAAATCAATTACTGTTCAAATTTTTAACATCTTTTAAATAATGATTTACAATGATTTTCTTTTTTAAAAAAATTTTCGCATGATAGCAGAAAATACATATTTGCATCTATTCTATGAACGTTATGACAGAGTATATAAGGAATTTTACATTGTAAATAGCATTGCATGATAGCAGAAAATACATATTTGCATCTATTCTATGAACGTTATGACAGAGTATATAAGGATTTTACATTGTAAATAGCATGCAAGTCTGCTTAACCGTATTTATTTAAATTAAAAAGGTCCGATTTGGAACACGGTCCGATTTAGGACATTCTCCCCTATATATGTGTATGTATGCATACATATATATACATACATACACACAGGGTTATGTATTTCGTAAGAGTTACAAAATGATTAATATAAGATAGCATGTTAAGGAATTACATTCGTGTATACACGCACGTAATATATTGCTCCTCTCTCTCTCTTTCTGCGCGCACGCGTGCGTTAGTGTTAGTGTCGGTGTATAGAGAATTACCTATAACGCATTCATCGTAACAGTTTGATTGGATCTAACTACGATCGATACTCGAAATGGGCATATGAATTCATAGCGTGGAATTATTATTCTTGAGTCTAACGAGAGCGACGTACTAGGCCCGATAGATTCGCGTGGACGGGTAACACGAAGGGGTAAGGGAAAGGTGGACAAGAGAAGATGGAATAATAGAGGTTGGACTGAGGGGAAACTTGTCAAGGGGAGGGAGAAGGGAATATATATAACAGGAAATATATTTGAGTTTTCATTTAATCATAACTACTCATTAGATATATCTAATGTCTTCTCTCTTTCTCTCCCTTCACACACACACACGCGCACACTCACACACACACACACTCTCTCTCTGATAATTTTATATTCCGGAATATATACTGAACTCTCAAAGTGGCGTCATATAATATTACTTTATCTTAAATTCATGATAATAAAATCATTTGTGTATGAGAGCTTAACTGCGCGTGTCAACGTGTCTCATACTGTCGCGCATGCACGTCGAAATGCGGAATGCGCGTGTCGATGTGCACTCGTGACTTCGATATTAATACGTATATACAGTCTGTCGAAGAAGAAAAATACACATATAACATGCAAAGATATTCCTCGTCCGATTCGAAGGCAATCCCAAGTTATCTTTGTGTCTTGTCATAAAGTTTGTTCTATTTATTTTTAATGAACTTTGTGAATCCACCAAATGAAGCTTTTGTTATCAAACAAAAAATCACGCAATAAAGAAAATTAATTAAATGCGCTTTACTAGTCGGTAATCAAGGTGGTCAAAGACGTGAAAAGTGTGATGCAATATTGAATTAACTTAAGAAAAAAATCATATTTACGAGGAATATACCCGCAAATTTTCGTACTCTTTTTTTCTCAACATCCTGTACATACAGGGAGTCTCTGGTCAGTCGCGCTTTTATTCGACGATAAATATGGGAACATTTTTTACCGAATAAATTTGAAAAACATTTCAAATTCAGTTGATGCACCGTATTCCTCATTATCAATCTTAACCTCTTTGTTAAACATCACACTGAATAAAACAGTAAAGTGACTTGTCTGCTTCTCACGAGTTAGTCTCTGAGACTGTCGCCACTGTGAAATTTTTGTTTTCTCTTTTTTTCTCTTATGTGTGATTCTCTTTAATTATATCAATGCGTTAAGTATTATCGACCGAATATGCGATTGACTAGAAACACCCTTCGCGCGCGCGCACACAACACACACACACACAACATATGTACTCGTTACCTGCATATCACAACATAAATTTTATTCTCTCTTCGATTTTTTCTCTCACTCTCTCTCTCTCTCTCTCTCATTCGCTTACTCTTCCTCTTTCTCGTTCAAACATAATACGCTCAATTTACGTAAACATACACACGATTCCGTCTACATAATTATTATAATGCTGCAGTACTGTAATAGTGGTTGAGTTTCTAAGCATTGTAGCGCCGTTCCAGGCATTTCGAATGTACGTTTACAACAGAACGTAGTCTTTTGCTACCCAATTCCTCTCCCTGGAAATTCTCTTCGTCTTACTATGCATACGAATTTCTTGTACGGGACGAACAAAACGAGATTACAAACATCCAGGGCGAATGTGTGATTGTTCGCGCCCTTTCGATTTTCGAAGCCAGTTGCACCGACGCAGAGTAATGCTCTAACTGCGGTTAATTGAATGATAGTTATAGTTAACTGACGTTTAACTTTCTTAGAATCTCCGATTCTAATTTTCCTGCGCGCGCGCGAAACAGACGCGGAATTAAATTGAATTCGTTAAATTAATTTAGATCAAGTTGGGAGTGAGTAATCGAAACTTAAGTTAACTAAGAGGGTTAACGAAAGTTAACCGACTTATGGATAACGTCTGTGCCTCTCACAACATTATAACTATACGGTCATAAATCTAGAAAAAAACGAGGCATCGCCGACGAAAATTTAGTTAAAACTGTTAAAACTAAATTTACGATCGTCTCTTTTTTTTCATCGATATCATAGTTATAACTATATAATCTAGGGAAAGGATAAGGAATCCCTAAGCACAAAATTTAATTAAGACTGCTAACTACATTTACGATTATTTCATTTATATTCTAATGTAACAATGTAAACGCTGTAGAAATAAAGAAATATCGCCATATGAAATTAATTAGAATAGTTAATAAAATTGATTATTCAGTTAACTCTAAGTTAACTCTGGATCGTTAACCAAAATTTAGTTAAGTTAATTGACCAATCTTATAAACGCAACTTTTCACTCTTTTTTTGATGCTGCAGTCATCAATTGGAAAAGGACAGAGAAAATTGATAATCGATTTAAGCTGTTAACAAAATTTGTGACTGATTAAATTCTTTTCACGTTCGTCTGTACCTATATCACAACAAGAGCCATAGCGTCCAAAGTAACTAACTTTGCTCGTTACTTAATCGAAGTTAGCCGACCATCGGTAATTCGATCTCTTCGCAAGCTAATCGACGTGTCGACAATGATCCGACTTCTCCGTAACGAAATACGCTCTTCTTCTTCCTCTTCTTCTGGAGCAGATTTCCCTCGCGAATGTATTGATCGAGCACGCATTACCGCCTGCTAAATGAACCGAAATAAGCGACCGATCCAACGACGTGGCGGATTCATTCATCGGGAAACGCATCAATGCGACGCGCATCACTCCTCGACGGTAGTCAGTGGTAGTGGATATCGCGCAAGCGAAACCCTCTTTTATCTGACAATCCGTTTCTTGTGCTACACTGCTCACGAGCTCAACCACTAACGGTTATACATCAGCACGAAATCTTAGAAATCATGGCTCAGCGCTATAGTAGCAGCCCATGCTGCACACTCAGTCACGAGATCCACCACCGACGTCGGCGACCATCACTGCGGACGACTTTAGAGTATGCAGCAGGAAGCCGAGCAGCAACTACTCCCGCCGCCTTTACTTTTTTGTCTCTGATCTGCAACAAAATAGTACACATAATTTACTCTCTCGGTATCCTGTTTAGCGTTAATGCACATAAAAAAAAAAACTTAAAGAACTAAATGTTATATGTGTCAAAAATGTATAAAAATTTATTTAATAACGACTAACTTCTTGTAAAAATTTAATTTGCACATTTATAATTAGTTATTTTTCCAATTAATTTTATATTATTGAGACTGAATAAAGATTCTTTTCTAAAAATGACAATCATGAAAAAATATTATGTGTTATTACTTAAATTAACAATCAAAGAAGTATTTTAATCTTTTTCATTTTATTTATTTTTAAAACAAGAATTTAATTTTTTAACTAATATATATGTTATATTTTTTTTCTAAAATTTGTTTTGAAAATTTTAATTGATTTAGTTATATTAAATTCATTGAGTTCCAGACCTACGCGCTTTTTATTTTATTTCGAGATTTTATTATAAATTTTTGCACCATAATGGCTATCTATTATACTTATTTAGGAATAAAAGAAATTGCTCTTTCTGAAAACTAATCGCTGATGGAGTGAGTCTGAAAAAAAGATATAAAGGTTGAAGATGCCAAGTAAAAAATGTAAGTAATCCTTTGTAACGTTCAATTAATAAATGATTTCATCTACCTTCTTCACACACAATGGAATAAATAAATAAAATTATTATTTAAATGACTTATAGGTAAAAATGATGAATTCAAATGGATGTGTAAGTATGAAACAAGATCAACAAGTTTTCTTTCTTCGAATATTTATTATATTTCAACGCTTTTCAGATTTCAAAAGCAAAATTTTGTCATTCTCATGAGGATGATACGCGAAGGATTACGATTTAAAATAAAAAGCATCTACAAGTTACTTGAAACTTAAGAGATTAAATAAATAGATGTTTTTCTATAAAAGAAATATTATTTTTCCACTATAAATTATAATATGTATAATATTATTATTATAATATTGGGATACACCAAATTAGGTTATATTTGCAAAAAAAAATAAGATTTATAGTGAGTTATATATATTGGACCGTTATATGAATAAAAATCAATTATTAAGAAGTGTCAAATGCAATCGAGAGAAATCTAGATTTTGATGTCTAATAACAACACTTCTATGTAAATTATTAGCATCTTAAAAACACAGCAAAGAATTTATTGCAAGAAATATCATCTCGGTCCTCAAGATTTGAATTTCCCTATCTGGATCTTTTCCGATTTGACTACTAAAATAAGTAGTAATATTTATCGCGATAACCAGTACATATAAAAAGAAAATGTATTAAGAAGCGAACATGTATAATAAAATAAATTATACTCTATTATAGACTGTTATTTGAATAAATCAACATTTTTATGTAAATTTTTAAATACATTTTTCAGTATTTCAAATCTTGGCTAAAGTGTTTTTTTTTTTGCAATAAACTTTTTACAATGTTTTTAAGAATTTATCGTTATTATTATTGATGATCACAATTTAATATGTAATATACTCAAATGCTATTTGAACTCTAATTTACGATTGTGTTTCAAAACTGGCTGCATTTGGCGCATACATTCTTAACCTTGTGTCGCCAAAAATTGGTGGTACATGTTAAAATATAAATCTTACGTAAATTACAAGGGACATAAATACCATTAAGAATAAGTAGTTCAAAGGAATTGTGAGAAGTTTATTCACCGATGCTTGTTCTATTTGATCCTGTCAAAAGTTATATCTCACTCTATCAGTTGACTTGGCTCTGTCACTGTCGATTATTTTTTTCTTTGAGATATTGATTGTACTTACAAAGAGCCTTGTCTTCAAAAAAGTATCGCAAGTTCGTCTTATGTATATATATATATATATATATGAATGTTCACTTTATCTTATATTCTTATGTATTTCTTATCATCTCGTGCTAATATTCCGAGAAAAACATATACCTAGATGTTGATTTCGAAAAATACCTCCTATTACTAGTGTGTAATTTGAAATGTCATTCTCACTTCAAAACCTTTGCCTCGAATTTGGTGGAACTGCATCGTACAAGGTTAAGAGTGTAGTTTGAATTGAAGTACCGGAAAATGTATTTACAAATTTATACATAAATATTATTAAGTACCAAGATAATTTGGCGCTTCTTATATAATAGATAAGATTAAATTGTACGTGGATTTCTCTTTTGTTTATGCATAGCTAACATATATGTTCTTTAGACGCAATTTAAATGTATAATTGTACAATATTATTTTTGTCTTAAGCATGGTATGTTTCATTCGATATTATTAATGTAAATATTAACAGTATAAGCTCTCGATGTCAGAACAATAAAAGGGTAAATTAAAGGGCAATTCGAAAGTTATCGACAATACTAAATAAAAAGTTTTCACATTTAATAAATTTAAAAAATATAATTAATAAGAATTCAATATGTATACATAGCTCGGTTTTGCGCATTACATGTTTCGGTTCTTGGATTGAGCCTTCTTCAGATGCATCGACGAAAGAAATTCATTGTATTTTAGGTATCTAAACATGTAATGCGCAAAACCGAGCTATGGATACATATTGAATTCTTATTAATTATATATTTTTAAATTTATTAAATGTGAAAACGTTTTATTTAAAATCGTCGGTAACTCTCGAATTGTCCTTTCTTTGTTTTACCCTTTGATTATTATTAATGTATTTGCTATGGGAACAGCGGAAATGGAATTTGCAAGGATAAGAATTAGAAAAACTTACGTTTTGGAGGGGGGCGGGAGGGTTAAGAATTAAGGCGATGTTTTTGAGTTGATGTCATAGTTTTCAGGATATCTCGGACAAGATATACATGTACTCACCGTTAGGAAGAATACCTAGAAAGATGAAATAGGAATAACTGTCACTTTTGTTTAATTTTATTAATTTATAATAGCATAAGAATTTTTAATAAATGAATATCTTTAATCTCTACAACAGAATCGATATTAGTATCGATTAAGAATCAATGAGAAAAGTGATATAAAATAATTTGAAATAACATTAAGAATGTTAAAAATAAAGAATTTAGATACATGTGTCGCAGCATTTTTGCGAAATCAGCCTTTTCGGAAAAAGATTAGTCTTTTTGCAAAAAGATTGAAGTAAGATAATCGTCTTTTTGCAAAAAGGCTAGTCTTTTCCTGAAAAGGCTGATTTCGTAAAAAAGCTGCGACATATATACACAATGCATCTTGTCTGAATGTTATAATATCGTTGATTATATATATATATATATTCTAGATTGAATGTAATAAATTTAGTGAGCATAAAGCAATTGTCAATTATTATGCAAACTGGTAAGAAGTTAAATAAATAAAGAAGTTATGTGCGTTTCGTGGATTATTTCCGTGTGTAGATTTATTGTTAGAATATCAAAGTTTTGTGAACATTGCAGTTCACTTCATCAGGGCGAGGATCAGTTTATTCACGAATGTTGGTATTCTATAACAATAGATCTGGACATAAACAACAGAGATAACTTGCGAAATGCATAACTTCTTTATAAAAAGTATCCGTCTTAAAAGTATTAATAAGTAAAAAAAAGTATTAATAATAATTAATATATACTTAAATAAAATGAATAATAAAGTTATATTAATTTAACTTATTTCCGTTAAGGTAACAATGTATAATTTATACAATATACATCTTCACAATTAAAGTTTTAAATTATATACATTTTTGTTATTAGATTTATGTAACTTATGCGAAACAAAACACAAAAAATAGAAAGATTCATATTCAATTATACACATTTTATTTTTATACTTGTGACTCGTTAATTATTATAATTATACACATTTAATTTTATAATTGTGACTCGTCTATTATACACACTTAATTTTAAATTTAACATTGAAAATGACCTGATCGGTGTCGAAACGTATGCGAATTTTACTTTTACTCTGTTTGATTTTAATGTATTGCGATTATTTTGAATTAATTATATTTATTATTTTTAAAAAACTATTTGGCTCTTTTCTCTTATTTTTAATTAATTAACTTATCCTTTTTTTTATTGTCATCGATTTTTTTAATTGTCTGAAAACATACGGGAACAAATTATGCATTTTCTAAAAAAAACTTTGCGTTATTGATACTAGGACTATATGAAAAAGCCAATTTAGAAAGCAGAAAATCTCCATTGTGTTGTAAAGTTGCAACGTATTGTTATGAAGTTGCACAATGCATAGAACCTCGACGATTATCTTCTCCGTCGATCAAAGTTGATTATTAACTACCTGCCTACATTTTATCCATCGCATTTGCTGTCGCATCGATTAATAATAATTAATGAAATAGTGAACGAGTTGCTTGTAATAAAGTTAATGCTGCGAAAGAAGAGAAAGGAGATAAATTATCGGATTTTAGTCAATATAACATACAACTACTGCCCAATTGTCATTAAAAATCACCAGAAAGGCTCGTAAAAGCGGAAGTACGTACGCCGGAAAGGGCAGAGAAATTTGCAAGGATAATGTAAAGAATTGAAATATATATTTCACACGAGATTATACTGACTTCGTATAAATAATAATGACGACGTTGCACAAGAGAAATTGACAATTAGCCATTATTTGATGAGACGATTGATTATACCAATTAATATTCTAACTTTCACTCGCGCAGTAACCTGCGTGAAATCGATAGCGATACATGTGATTCAATTTATCATTGCACTTGTGCTGTTTGTAAGATGCGTCAGAAAGTGCAGATTTAAGGATTTCTTTGAAGTTGTTCTTCGAAAGCATCAAGATGTTAGTAATTTTTTAGCTGTAGATCATCAAAATGAGAGTTTTGTCAAATTAAATGTACATAACACTGCAAAATATATCTATTAACAAATTTAATTATTTTACACATTCATAAAAATGTAGATAATAATACATTTGATATTTTTATATAATAAATATGTATATATGTATAACATTTATATTATAACAATTCGTATATTCACTTTTATGTTATATTTGTATTATTTATATTAATTGTCAATTTTGCAAGAATTCTAACGAATAACACCATGTTTAAGATTTTTCTCGTATTATAATAAAAAGGATTATAAATTTTGTAAAACTCGTTTATATTCTTATTTTTTGTTACATTTCCGTTAATATTTTAATTTGTTAACATTGAAAATGACCCGATAGATGTCGAAACGTTCGTTATTTGTTTATTTTTCATTAATTTAAATATATCTTCTTTGTTTTTCTTCTAACTGTAATATTTTTATTTCAACTCGTTGCCTGTGAAATTATATTAATTTTTATTTATTATTGTCGAACCTTCTCTTAATGTTATTATTATTTTTTATTATTCCTATTAATTTTTTTAAAGTAAATTTTATTTTAATAGAATTCTATACTTTTTTTTTAATTTAATACTGTTTTATTGTAATTATAACAATATTATAACGATATTTTATTGTTGTGTTTTGCACTAAATGAATTTCGGATTCTTAATTGATAGAGAATATATTTAATACGCGAATACAAAGAGTTATTATAAGCGTGCCGAATGACGAGTGTATCGAACGAATGTATATAACTGTATATAACTGAGTGTCCGAGTCGACCTTCTATTGTTGATAGCTAGATCGTTGCCATTCATGTCATAGGCGTACGTAACATTTATGATCAGGAGACGCGGTAGTGTTTCCGGCTATGTTCAAAAACTAAAAGACACTACAAGTCTCTTATCCCGAGCCACCAAAGTCCATTCTTGGGGGGTGCATAACTACTAAAATATAAAAAATTTTGAATTGAACATTATATGTCCTGAAAGGCGACATCGCTACGAGTAATTTGAACCAAAAAAATTTTTAATCGGTCAACAGGGTTGCCACAAATTTTAAATCGTAAAATTTCCTGACATTTCCCTGATTTACTGACAAAATTTTGAGATGATTTTTCCTGACTTTGAATAATACATATTTTGCAATGTTTATTTTTTTTATCGTAATATGGAAAATGTTAAATATTCTGTTGATCCAGCAATGAAACAGATGCACATTTTCTTGAGGAAACGAATTCAAATCAAATGTCGCTCGAGCGTCGTGCGGCATTCGGACCGCGCACGGTGAGGTGAGGGGGACAGCAGCGGAAAGCGGAGGCGATTCGAAAATCGGCCGAAAGTTACATACACTTTATGTACCTATGTTCACTTTGTATTGGCACCTTTAATTAATAATATATCAGTTACTTTTCATGGTAATATATTATTATTAGATAAAAATTAGTTTAAATTTTTGAGTATCCTTTTTTGAACATGGCTTAAACTTTCCATTATTTTTATGATACATTTTTAACCAAAGATACATTTTCAATATATTCCTGCATTCTTGATAGTCCTACGTAAATGGCTATCATTTAATGGTTAAATAAAGCTAATTTCGTTATAATGATCATCAATGGAATACGACATTTTCGCTATTACAAAGTGTGATTGAATCTTCGCGTCTAATACGCGGCTTGATGTAACGAACTTTTGATGTAATAAATTCAATCTAGAGATCCACGGCGGCAGCTCGTTATAACGAGATTTTACCATAATAATTACGCAAACGTGTCACGTACCAACGCGATAAATTTAGTTTAGGTTTAGGTTTGGAACAGTGCGTAAACAAATTTAAAGAACGATAACGAGTAAAGATTTAACTAGGTATTAATAAAAATGCGGTAAAGTGTATGTATGTATTTTATATGGGTCGCAGGATGATCCTTATCTATGAGTAATTAATTTTTCTCTGCTGAGGAAGGACCATAATATATAATATGTATATTAGGGAGTTGCATTAAAAGCCGCCGTTTTTTTTTATTTGAGCATTAATTTCAATAACAAAATATTGTATATGAATACCTCAATCAAAGGATTTTTCCTCGGAAGCTATGACTTTTTGCCACTTTTCTAGCAGAAATTAAATTCCGCGACGAAAGAACGATCTGTCTTTTGAGTCAATCCACTTAGCAACCCAATTTTCGACTTCGCTATAATTACAGAAGTGTATATCTTCCAGAGGGTGTTACATCAATCGGAACAGATGATAATCACTTGGTGTCAAGTCCGGAGAATACGCTGAGTGCGGGAGAACCTCCCATTCGAGATCTATCAGTGTTTATTTCATGACTATAGCAACATGGAGCCGAGCGTTATCATGGATATGATCAGAAGAAGAATTATCTTTCGACGATTTGATGCAATTAATAATCGTTTTTGCATCAAATTATTATTCAAACACTCCAATTGTCGATAACATGATTATTTCGTTCGGTTTCAACAGCTCATAATACACGACACCTTTCATATCCCATCAAATACAAAGCTGTTTTGTGACCGTGGAATCACTTTTGAATCGTCAAAACTAGTCTTTATATACTATTTCCGATGGAGCAGATTCATCAAAATAGTGTAGAAGTACACATCGGAAAAATAACTTATCGCGTTCCATTTTAATTCAGTTATAGAAAAGCACATGTGTAAATAAAGATGGCGTCTGGTGACTGAATTTTAGTGGGCAATATTTATACTTCAAAATGACATAAGTAACAGATGTCTCTGACCATAGCATATATGTATAGCTATACGTGAACAGCGGCTTTTAATGCAACCCTAATAAAAGCATAAAATACATGCATAGAAATATAATTCAAAATAGTCATATTACAAACATTATACAATAAAAAAAAACAAAAAAGGAATTTTTTATCTAAAACAATAAAAGGATAAGTTGAAAATACGTTCAAAACTTTCAAGATTTTTTGAATTTTTACCAAATGATAGCTTTACATACACCGTTTCGGGTATTGAGTTTTAAAAAGCACATGTTTAGGACACTAAAACAAGCTCTTTCTGTAAGTTTTAGAAAAATCTTAAGAAAATGGATTTTTCGGAGAATGTCCTTAATTCTAGAAATTTTTAGTAGTTTTATTAAATAACTTATTTAGATGATAGTAATGCGGTTTATAAATAGATGATATACCAAGCGCTATACGTTTGCGAATAAGAGTTAATATAATAAGAGGTAGGTACCGCGTGTCACGATTTAATTTTATAACCAATAAGGGTATTTTAATTAGGATTCTTTGATGAAGTTTATTTTAAACAAAGTTAAAAAAGAAAATTTTAAGCGTGTCTGGTGAAGAGTTCATTGAGGGGAGGGAGGAAGAAACATACAAGAAGTTTCATAACGACCTCCATGAAGGAGAAAACAACATGGTCGCATCTCGCGAATTCACCTTGAGAATTAGGTTCCGGAAGATTCTCTCGCGGTACCAGATGCATCACCGTGGTTTTTCCAAAGGGGAGCCCAAGAGCACCGAGCGTGACATTGCTATGCAGGAAACGACCCTGGTAGATTAGCCGCAGGATCTCCGCCTTGGCGACCGCCTCTTCTGCCCAATCTGTAACATCAAGATAACATTTGCAGTATGCTGAGAATTCTTCCCAGCTTGATCTAGCAGTTTGCGAAAAGTTTCCGAAGTGCCAAAATTTCTCGAACCTTAAAAAGTTGACGCAGATTTATAGAAAGAATTTGCAGTAATAAAAAATTACGAATGCGAGAAGAATATGAGCTGTCCATCGTACAAATTGAGTGTAAAATTTTCTATAGTTCTTCGTATAATTTTATAATCCTTTGACACATTATAATTCTAAATCTTTTTTTGTCGATTTATTATAGTATATATAAAAGAGGAAATGTTTATATATACCGCGCGTATCTTAAATAATTTTTAAATCTTTCACATTATAATGAAAGCGACAAAATTTTTCAACATTATATTGAAAAAAATGATGTATTAATAGTATTATTTTGAATAAAAATAATTTTGTTAATTTAATAACACTATTAATGGAACTTAAGCTCTTGTTTTAATATAATTTTATTTGTTTCATTAATAACTGTTGTTAAATCAATAAGGTTATTATCATCTATATATATTTTTCATCACGTATAAAAAAAAAAATATATATATACAGGGTGTCCTAGAAAGACCGGAAAATATTTGAACAGGTAGAGCGGACTGAACTGAGTCGAAAAGTCCTCCATCGTTTTGCAATTTTCGCAATAGTCAACGAGATAATAATTGTTAAAAATTACCGAATACGTGCGTCCACCTGGCCTACTACTGCCAACAGTATACCGCCCATGAAATGTCTAATAAATTTATATTTGGAAATCATCTCTTGATCATTCAAAGTTTATACAAAAAATTGAAATTTTTATCATTTATATATAAAAAAATTAAATTTACTTTACTAACTACACTACTCAATAAAATCTAGGGAACACTTTCGAACAAGTTAAAAATTGGGCAATATTCAGAACACCGTAACTCGGTGAAGAATCATCGCAGACAAAAAAATTAAAAAAGCATTTTAAAGATTGAAATCTCTACTTTCGAAATCTCCAATTGTAATTTCAATATGAACTGATACTTTACGAAGTTCTACAAACACAAATGGATATCTGTCAAATCTAAAAATTTTTCACAAACTTTCTATGGCGTGAAGTAAAAGTTACCTGAAAATGCGGTTTGCAAAAGTCGAAAGAGTGAATCTTTACCTTCAATTTTTTTTTTTACTAAACGTTGTACGATTTTTTTTTCACCGAGTTACTGAATGTTAAAGCAACAGTGATCACTTTTGTTTCAACTTTCAATAACTTAGTGAAAAAATATCGTACAACGTTCATTTATGTTTATTTGACACACATACACCTTCACGCACACACACAAATACAATTTCTTTATAATTTCACATTAGCAAATTAATATCTAATCCTCTGGAAACACGATTACACTGCCATTGTGCCTGTGCTCCTCCAATAGGTGAGAGAAAGTAGTCTTTTAAAATATCACGTTGTTCTGTTGCTTTTCGTGACGCACTATTGCTTCTAATAAAACGTGTTATATCGTCAAGTAAAACATTATTTCCTTTATTATTACGCCATTCTCCATTTTTTTGATCCGTATGGTCAACGAAATTAAAAGGACAATACAATCGTTCATTATGCATACTCATTTCTTCATCTGTGATCATAATAAAATTGTGTAAACATATCAAAGCTTGGCAATAGCAATAGCATTTTCTGGATTATCTATATAGATGAGAAGCACAAATAGTTGAACATGGAACGAGAAATAAAAAGTTATTTGAAATTTCCAAGTACGTATTAAATGAATTTCAGAATGCATTGGCCAAACCAGTGCCGATACATGATCTGGATATAAAGAGGTGGGCTTTAAAAGCGAGATATGACTATAACTTATTACAACATTTGTTCACAGCTTCCTCAAAATGGATTTATAATTTTAAAAGAAGACACTGCATTGTTTCAAGAAAAATCAATAAATTCGTCACTCAATTGTAAATAGCGAATAAAGAAGAATTGAGAGGAAAAGTTAACGAATTTGTGGAGAAAGTGAAATCGAAAATTGCATTGATTGGAGAAGATAATGTATATAATTCTGATCAGTCCGGATTCAATTTGGAAATGCATGCAGGACGTACATTATCTTTCAAAGGAACATTAAAAGTTGAAACTTTAGCACAATCTTTGAATTCTCTAACCCATAGTTATACGATATAGCCCATTATCTCTGCAAGCGGACATTTAATGTCTCCTTTGCTCATAGTCTTGAAAGAAAAAGAAGATAAATTCGTGTCAAAGATTCAAAAAGATTTATATAAAGCAGATAATATCCTTATTTTAGCTTCTACTTCCGGTAAGTTGACATCGGAACTCGCATTTAGATGGTTTGAACAGATTTATTTACCTAACACTAATGAAAAATCTGTCTTGTGTTTAGACTCATGGACGGGGCAAAACGAAAAAAAATTTAACACCATTGAGAAACGTGGAAAAGAGGTAAATATTTTGACGATTCCTGCCGGAACGACTGGTATGATTCAACCATTGGATATTTATACATTTAGGTCATGGAAGAATTTTCTAAAATATTTTTCGGATGTGTAGTTACATAGTATAATTATAATATAAATTTGCATTTAAGAAATAATATTTTAAAAATTCAATTTCTTATTCATAATCAATTTTCATCTCCCAGATTCGTAAACCTTTTTAAATATGCATAGTACAAGAGTGGTTACACTGAAGAGAAACCTTCTAAATGCGTGACACCTATAAATTTTTGTTTTACAAATTGTGAGCCTATCTGTGACTCCTGTTATGATATAGCAATTTTTAGGTGTGCTTGATGCACAAAATCAATATGCAAACAGCACTTCTTTGACCCCAGCAATTCTGGAAGTCCTCATTATTGTACGAGTTATCAACAATAAAAAAATTAAATTAAATTAAACCTACAAAAGCGTATAAAAAATAGGGTATGTTAAGTTAGCACTCCAACTATAGTACTCAGGAGTTCTGATTAGAGTTCCCACTTCCTTTTGACGAAACGAAGAGTTCCCTATAGTTAATAACAAGAGTTCCGCTCAATAAACATTTTTTTTATATTTTTTAAAAATGGGGTGCTAACTTTTTAACGAAATTCAAGGTCGCATAGTTCTGATCAGCTTAACAGAAGTATTTTGTGAATACCTAGAGTTCTTAATACATAAAAAACATTTTTGAAGAATAATAAAGTTTTAAAAAAATAGTGGAAATCTTTGAAAATTTTTTTGAGAGTACCGAGTAGTTCTGAGTTGCGTTTCTTATAGTACTCGACGAGTTCTATCGAAAACTGTAAGGTGGAAAAGCGATTGGACCAACGGTTTGCAAGATACAGCGACATTTGTCCGGAAGATCAACAATTTTTAATTAAAGCGATTGGACCAACGGTTTGCAAGATACAGCGACATTTGTCGGAAGATCAACAATTTTTAATGTGAGTATATCTCAGAAACCGTTGGTTCAATCGCTTTGAGCCCTGATAATTTTCGACAGAACTCGCCGAGAACTGTCCAGAACTCCGAACAGAACTACTCGGTACTTCGAAAAAATTTTTGATCAAAAATTTTTTTCTAATTGTAAGTCCCACGTCGGAAAATTTTTTAGGAGTACCGAGTAGTTCTGTTCGGAGTTCTGGACAGTTCTCGGCGAGTTCTGTCGAAAAGTATCAGGGCTCAAAGCGATTGGACCAATGGTTTCCGAGATATACTCTAAAAATTGTTGATCTTCTGACAAATGTCGCTGTATCTTGCAAACCGTTGGTCCAATCGCTTTTCCACCTTACAGTTTTCGATAGAACTCGTCGAGTACTATAAGAAACGCTACTCAGAACTACTCGGTACTCTCAAAAAAATTTTCAAAGATTTCCACTATTTTTTTAAACTTTATTATATTTCAAAAATGTTTTTTATGTATCAAGAACTCTAGGTATTCACAAAATAGTTCTGTTAAGCTGATCAGAACTATGCGACCTTGAATTTCGTTAAAAAGTTAGCACCCCATTTTTAAAAAATTATTAAAAAATGATTATTAAGCGCATATGTCATTAAAAATCATAGAGAACTCTTCGTATCGTCAAAAAGAAGCAGGAATTATCATCAGAACTATTGTATCTAAAAATTAATTCTTCAAAAATTTTTAATTTTTTTTTTATTATTCGAGAAATTTTTTTACATATCAGGAACTCTAGACAATCGCAACTTGAAGCTATTAAGCCGCTCAGAACTATTCCACCACGAAATTCGATAAAAAGTTAGCACCCCATTTTTAAAAAATGTAAAAAAAATGTTTATTGAGCGGAACTCTTGTTATTAACTATAGCGAACTCTTCGTCTCGTCAAAAGAAAGTGGGAACTCTAATCAGAACTTCTGAGTTCAACTATAGTTGGGGTGCTAACTTAACATACCCTAAAAAATATAATAATATTAAAAAAAAGTGTTATATAATAAAATTTAAACGTAAATCCCCAAACGTGACAAGCAAAGGATACTCACATCAATCAAGCACCCCAAACGTGAGAGAGACAAGGGTATTCCTCCCACACACATACATACACAACACGCACACACGAATATAGTACAAATATAATAATACGAATACGTATGGAGCGCGTACATAGAGACGTTTCCGTCCATATCTGAAAAATTTTACGGAAAGTAATTTAAATACACACTGTTGTTTTCAGCAAAATATGCTCTTTAATTTTCGTCATATAAGTGACGATTTTCAAAATATAAAAATTTTTGAAAATAGGGGTGGGAGTGAAAGTATACGCCACTGCTTGGTAATAATAACGTTAATGGTATGGATTGATGCAAGTTGATTTTGCAAATGGCAATGACTAACTCACCTTCCGGCCAATTTTCAAACACATGGTGCGCTATATCGCCCGCCGAATCGCTTGGACTGAATAGGAACTCTTTTGTCTTGCCACTGACGAGGATGAGGCGTAGATTTATCTGTAATGTACAAAAAATATTATAATGAGAAAGCAGAAATTGTATATATAGATACAGTTTGATCTTCAACTCAAATTTTTAGAAATTCAATTTTTAATTTATAAATAAATAATATAGTCTTTTTATAGAATATGTAACATCCAAATTAAATTCTGGATATTTATTTTAATCAAAGCATCGAAGTTACTATTATATATTAATTTAAAGACTAAAAAATAAATAATTGTATAAAATATTATTAAATATGGTTATTATATTTTTCCAAATAAATTGTAAAATTACAATAAATGTCCTTTATAACAGTTGTTGGGAACAAAAGGGTTAAACAAGCATTCGACTTTCAACCAGCATGCAGGAGCTGTGCACCGGCGAGACTACCGGGGACAGTCGAGCCCACGGACGAAGACGAATTCAATTAACATCAGATAGGGAGGGGTGCGAAGATCAGGCAACATAAATAATTAGTAACGACGAAGCTGAACCGGTATGCGCGCTCGAAGGGCTCGGCAGAGCCCGCTCATCGTAACCCTTTGCGGTCTCTGTGGTCGCGACAATCTGCTGTGTTAAAACGTTAAATCATCGTCCTCTAGCGATTTACATTATCGTTCGACCGCACGCGAAGCTTTCCCTTGACATTGCGTAATTTTCGTGCCAGAGACTGGCCGGCCGACCGGCCGGCTGACTGCTAACTGTACAGTGAAATGAGGCAATATGCGGGTGAACATATACTAACGAAATCGTAACGAGAAAATTACGTGACCGAAAGATCTACAAATATTTGATCCGTTTTTCTAGCCATTACTAATTTGATAATATCGATGAGAGTAAGCTATTAATTTACGGTCAAGCTGGATATTGAGTGCTTCTATTATAATTTTCGTGTGAATTTATAAACTACGATATATATACTATAAGATTCCTAAATGCGCGCTGAAATTTTTTCAGACTTACAACGCAAACTAATAAACTACCGCAGTACTATCACGAGTTAAATTAACAATTTTTTAATGCTCATTGCATCTTGGACCTTAATAATACGTTGAATGACATATTAAAGTCTATCAATGTGACATTAAAAATATGTAAATAATTTAAATATAATTTGACAATCCCTTGGAGTCTTTTAAGGAGATCGGGGAGGGGGGATTTGCAAATACCGAGTAAAAGTAGATTTCGAGGAGAATGGAACTTCCATATAGAAATACGCATTTTTCGCTTTGTACGAAAATTGTATATAAGTGTGGAAATATACATATACATAGTGTCCGACGTAATTGTGATCACGATTTTTCCGATGTACTTCCGATGATTTGGTAAAAATTATTTTGGATAAAATAATACGGCTGCAGCCTGCAGCCGTAAGCGGATCGTTCGAGACTGCAACGTGGAATTTCGGCTTTTTCCGATGTACTTCCGATGATTTGGTAAAAATTATTTTGGATAAAATAATACGGCTGCAGCCGTAAGCGGATCGTTCGAGACTGCAACGTGGAATTTCGGTGAACGTCGTTTAGTGCTTTCGGTAGATTTGAAATTATCGTGAGCCCTCGAACGTAAGTTCCGCGCGAACGCGAGCGTCACGGCATTAATTATTGAACCACGATGTCGGTGCTGTGTTACGTGTATTTGGAATGTTCTGAGTAATTAGATGATGGACACACGGTTATCATGAAGAATCTGAGTTAGTCTTATGTGCGGCGGATCTAGTTTCTTTATCGTCAATCATAACGTTCGTTGATGATTGATCGATGTAATTCTTGCGAAACGTTCTCGGGTTTCAGTATGGCACATTCCGATTATAATGTCCTAGCGTTACCTTTGGCGTAATCCCGTACGTATTATTTACATTGTAATTTCATGTTGTGTTTGAGTATTTCGCGGTAATTTTTCACGATATCTGGTCTTGCTCACCAGAACTTGTGCATGGTTCGCGTACTACTCGCGATTGTTATGCGATGATATTTTCTTCTTATCAACCTTGATCTGTTGCCGAATTACAGTTTATAGCGATTTTGACTCGTTTACGCAACATTGCTACCGATCTCTCGCGCTATTCGATTGTCTATGTTCGCTTACGGCAGATTATTTTCGTTTTCTTCTCATCACGATTATCTTTTTTTACTTGACTATGTCGTTCTCTACTTGATTCTGTATCCGTTATTTCTATAATATCGTCTACTTTATCTTATTTTTATTTTGTTTTATATTGCTCTGAATAAACACGCTCATTGTTACTCGATTACCAAATAGTACATTGTGTAACGAGTGGGGATTAGTTGTTTATTGCGCGACGGGCACGAGCGAGGCGAGTTAACCCTTGCAAAAATTGCAATGTGGTAGAGGACTTTTCGACACAGTTTAGTCCACTCTATCTAGATACAAAAGCGATGGCGAGAAATTTTTGTGACACCCTGTATAATATAATACTGTACATTTCTCTAAATTATTGATTAAACCACAGCGTTGTATATATTTTTTATAGTATAATATATACAGGTTGAACTTTATTCAATTTATAAAAGGTTAAGAACGTTAACTCAAAATTTATAAAAAGGTTAAGAATGTTAACTCAAGTGCGGATGCTATAAAAGGCTGAGATAAATCTTTGAGCTCGAGTGCCGGATGGCGGATAATAATTTTAAGACCTGAGTTCGACACACAACTTTCGCAATGAGTTTCATTAACTTACAATCTTAAAAGTAGAATCGCCTTAAATTAACCCGGATAATAATTGAAGCTCTATCAGCCATCAAATTGCACATGGATGTGGAAAGTATAATGAACGTCTCACTACCTTTCTAATGAAACGGATAAGTGGATTAAGGAACTAATGCGTTGAAACAGAATCGTTGGCCGATATAATCTTTTTTCTTCATCGCTAAAGTCGTAAATCGTTCAATATGCGATCTTATTAAAAATGTCACATGATGGTGTATGTACGTATGTACAATGATACCTTTCTTTAAATCTCAATTTTGTAAGTAAGAGAAGCGCTACTTACGATCAAAGTTAGATGTTGGAATAATACATGTGTGTATTTAAATGTATTTAAATAAAGTTATCTTACATTAGATAAATAACTGCGTGTTGATTATTTTTTGGATTTACAAACACAATCGATTTAAAATAATAATAATCTCTCCAAATTAGATTGTCAATTTGATGTTTACCTCTCATCGTCAGCCAAGATTTTTTGCAATAAGTTCTTTATAGGTTTTTAAAATAAAAATAATACCAAATCAACCTAATTTAATTTTTATTATAGTTATTAGAGACTATTATCATTTTTTAGTTTGATTATACTGTAAGAGTAAGCCAAAGCAGTTAATGTGCAGTTGGAATATATAAATTTATTTAAATATATATGCACCCTCTTTCAATTCATTAGAATGGAATTTCACTATCAAGAGTGAAAATTGAACCAGTTTTGAAAAAGCTCAATTTTCTTGAAACAGCTTCAATCTTTGATCTCTTGTAAAACAGAAAGACCATTAACATTTCAATATTTACATCAGGAAAATTTGAATAATAAGTTTGCTGGAAGAACGTATTATATATAACGTACATATAAAGGTTTATCCGAAAATTATCATCTTGTATTGCATACAATTATCTGTTAATTGACTTAAGAATCGATTGGCATGCATCGAGCAATAGCGTTATGGAGATTTTCTAGGTTTTGTGAGAATTACGCGTAATGAAAAAGAAAGACAACAGGAGTGGACGGGAAACAAGAAGGCCGCAAGAAGAAAGAGTGGAATTGGGCTAATCGCGAATGTATGTTTGCCGCGATGGGTTTACCTTGATTTTGCGAACGCTCGATTCGCGTCACGAGGCGAGGTCACCGTATAACCAGGTCATTGGGGCATTCGGATACCCGAGGACCGCGAGTCGAACTACGCGCATATGCATATAGAACGACCCACATCTCTCTACGCGCTCTCGCGTCCTTCGTCCGAGGACTTAAATTTTTGACGCACAAATACCATACATAATAACGAAAGCACGCACGCATCTCCTTCTCGATCGGAGCAATGCTGTTCTTCAAGGTCCTTCTTTTCGTCGTCTATCAAGACCCACGCAAATTTCGAGCACATGCACACTGAAAAAAAAATTTAGTTATACGGACATATATGGTTGATTTTCTCCATGGTTCATTCAACCATTATTTAGTCGCAACAACAAATGTATAGTTTGTTTTTGTCAACCATCTAAAATAAAATGATAAGAACAAGGACAAGTAAAAGTGGGTAATAAATTTTTATACAAATTTAAAGTCAAGGTATAAAATATTATTAAGTTAAAGTATCCCCGGGTTCGACTCCCAGCCGAGATAATATTTTTCGCAATAAGAATAATTTTCCAGATTTAGTATTTTCAGATTATTAGAGTTGCGTTTCAAGACCGACGATTGTTCGGCGCGCAATTTGGGAGGGACTACGTATATATTAGTTAATTATTAATTCAATTCGTGTGATAGTACCGAGGGAGGTAGTTTATATGTAAGCGATTAAAAGATCCAAGCTAGACTGTTATAGGCTTCGTATTTGTATTATGTTATTAAGTTAAATTAACGTATTAACAAACGTCAAAAAGTATATGAAATTATTTAAAAAAAAAAATTATATATGTCAAGTCATTACATGTTTCGGTCCCCGGTTTGGACCATCCTCAGATGATAAAAAACATTGAACAAAATAATGGAATATAATAGAGGATCTAACATCATATTAAGTCAGTTGAAGATGAATCCTCTATCCGAGTGATACTAGAGTTGCTCGTAAACGATTCTCAGAACGTTTGTTTGTAACGTCTTGGTAGTCTATTAATAAAAGTTAAATATAACTATCAAATGATTTAAAATCGCTTGATTTTGAACACTCACCATATCAATCCAAAAGAAGAGGAGATCATCATCGTTGAAACAAAAATTGTGAATAACAATAAAACGAAAACATTAATATGTATAAAAAGTAAAGAGTATAAAAGAATTTAGAAGA